CAATGGCAAAGATACGGGTGTCCCCTCAGATAAAGCAATGGCAAACTCAGATAAAGCAATGGCAAAGATACGGGTGTCCCCTCAGATAAAGCAATGGCAAAGATACGGGGTGTCCAATGGCAAAGATACGGGTGTCCCCTCAGATAAAGCAATGGCAAAGTCTATAATTTTCTCAGGGAATTAGGGCTGTTTTATAAAGGGACACAATGTTTTAGTTTGACTGTCAGATGTGTGGATAAGTATTTATTTAAGTTGATTTGTTTAAATTATAGATACCTCGGCACCTGGGAAAGACAATTCGGCACCCAAGAAAGACAGTTCGGGAAACCAAAAGAAGAGGCTCTATTTTAGCCATGTTGGCCATGCCACAGTGGTTGCTATGCGGGGTCATCGAGCATATTTTTTGTATGGTTCGATGTTTAGAAGAAAATTGTTCACTTCTATGTATTTAACTGCACGCCTACCTTTATTACTGTCATTATACTTTGAACAATTGATGAAGTGATTCCTATTACCAAATTTGTTTTGGGTGAACAATTTAAAACTTTTGATGCGTTTGAATCAAAACTAAACAATATCAAGAATCAAATTTTATACAGTTATAAAAACGCAGTTCGCGATATATCAAAAGCAAAGTTGGACAGCAGTGAACTAAAATACTGTGAACTTCTGTATGCTTGTATCCATGGAGGACGTAGTATCGTTTCAAAATCAGATGAAGTACGTCCAAACCAAAGGTAAGTTTTTTTTTCTTCCTATTTAAATATCAATGGGTCATAATATCAATGCGAATTTTAAATAATTAAATTCGTATGGTAAAATTGAAGTTTAAAGCGACACAGACTTCAAGCTCCTAGCGTTTTTTTTCCACATCGATATCTTTGCTAGTTTTATGAATATAATATAATATGTCTGCACGATTGACCTTTTCGAACTCTCTTGTCTCGTTTTTGTTATGAAATTGTGAAATAATTCTGAAAACCTAATGTACCTGATCTAAAAACATTGTGTTTTGTCTTTTTTTTTAGCACTTTTCAGATGAAAATGCCAAATATTACGAGAGCGCGGTTATAGCATTTTGGATAGTTTCTGACTAATCTCGCGAAACTTTAAAAGAAATGACACAACTCTTCAAAAAGTTCAACGAAAATTGATTCCAGATTCGATGCGTAATGAGTGACCAAGATATGATTGAGAGAGATGTAATCAGGGAAGAAATTCCAAATGTACCATTGCTGATATGTCTTTTTCATGTACTACGGACATTCAAGAGAGAAGTTACTGTAACTTCAAAAAAGGGATATTGCAGAATGGAACGGTTTAGTCTGCAAAACCGACGTGCACATTGCTGCATCACTCGTTTGTGATGGCTGCCTAGAGAAGTTTCACCAAAAATGCATCGTACTAAAACATGCTTCCCCAAAACGCACATACTTGATGTGTAGAAGATACCATTGTACATAAAATTTAAAAAAAATGTATGCAATATTGTAGCATTAATGCAGTGTTTACGAATAAAAGTTTCATGTTGTATTTTAATACATATAACTAGTCCCAGCATTCATTGAAGTGGATTAACGTAACAATAACACATGTACAACGTAATCATAGACACAAATATTATTGCTACGTTCGCAAGTAATCGGTTCCTTAATTATGTGTCAGACCACCATTCACCCACTCCAATTTAGAACGTATATGTAAAAGAAACCCTTCCCTGACAAAAAAATGAGGGGATGGACAGGGGGGTACCCTTCTCCCACCTCCCACTTTTAGAATCTTTTTTTCTCTTCCCACCTATTTTTTGTCCCCCACCTCCCGCCCCCCACCTCCCACTTAAAAATATTTAAAAATGATAGTCAATCTGAGACTATTATACTAGTATATAATATATTATGTCCCACAGTTAAATCAAATGTGAATGATTGTCAATCAAACACGTACATGTATGTTTATTGCTTGCATACAAATAACCCCACACAGTTAAAAAAAGGGGGGGGGGGGGTAGGAGGGGGTCTCATCCCGAATTCCCGAGAAATTATATGCCAAAATCCCGAATTCCCGTGAAAATAATCAATTAATCCCGAATTCCCGTGAAATTAAAAGTGAATGCTATTTAAAATCGCGATACATAACCATAGAAATTTTAAAATAGTCGTGACAATAGAATAAGGGTATATCAAATACGGTTCCGGTTTTCACTTTGTTTTTGTGCAAATCCAACATATAACCGTACCTTCTTTTGTTCTTTACTTTTCGTCGTCGAAATAAACGTCTAAATATATATTTGGAGAAAAAAAAATCGCTCTACGAGCTGTAGAGGCTGACCAAAGTCACAGTTGGGTTCAGCCAAAAAATGTACAAGAATATATATATACGGGAAAAGAAAAAAGAAAAATGCGTTAACCATGTTAACATTCAATAAAAGTTTCTTTAGTAATTAGTAATAGTGAAAGAGCCTGGGTGAATTAGCCCGTAGTGTCCTTCCCGATCTTGACACATTCCGATTAACCATGAATTGGAGTTCTGTTGAATATGTATTCGTATATATGATAAGATCTCGTCGTCTGTCTCGTTTTCAGACTCGCTGTCATAATCATCATCATCGCCCTATATTTGATCAAATATCACTGTAGTAATGGCCTTGCAGACCGACTCTTTGTAAAATGATTGTTTAAAAATGTATTTTTTATGTTTTTTCCTTTGTTATACCCACCATTGTTTTGTATTGTTTGTATATATGTAAATATTGTATTCCTCTTGTTACACGTATGTATTGTGTCTGAGTGATCAAATAAAAGTTGTTAAGTTGGTACACATTGGCGTAGCTTACGTTGAGGCAACCGAGGCAGTTGCCTCGTATAAAAAAAAAAAAACAAAAAAAAACTTTTCTTTTAAACAATTTTCACAGCAGCAGACTCGCTACTAAACGTTTAAGTACCGACTTGTATCGTCTTGTTACCGTTATTGATTCATACCCTTTGCGAGTTCAAGACTTATGGAAACATTTTCCTCCTCTAATTGAAAATCCCGATCCCCAGTAATCTAAATATGTCGGAGTCAAAGAAATCGACACAATTGAAGCTGGTCACAGTATATCTATATAGTCTTACCCCAAGCAAAATCAGTAGAATAGATGATTACTCAACTTACGAGCCTTCCCCGATCGAATCACTTGACCATTCAGGTATAAATTATTAATTTTTTGCAAGAACAATTTCTAGTATATGAGGGTCTGGGTGATGTTTACAGAATACAGAAAAATATCAAAACTTTGATACCAATTGATGTTGTTCTCAAGTTTTATTCTCCCCAAGGATTTGTATAGTATAGTAAAATTGAGAATGGAAATGGGGAATGTGTCAAAGAGACAACAACCCGACCATAGAACAGACAACAGCAGAAGGTCACCAACAGGTCTTCAATGCAGCGAGAAATTCCCGCACCCGGAGGCGTCCTTCAGCTGGCCCCTAAACAAATATATATACTAGTTCAGTGATAATGTATATTAGAAAGGAGCAAAGACTGGCGTCCAGAATATGAACCAGCATACAATGAATTAAATTATGTAAAAATGATAAATCTGTTCGGCTAAAGATGTCAAACGCTATCCGTATTAATTACCCGAAAAAGAAAGGGTATATCAGGGTAGCGACTGACGTCTGACTAAATAGTAGAATGGGGCTGAATATTGAAATACTACTTTTTGATAAATATTCCTAAAGTAATGAACTAGAGAAGTTCTCGCTCGGACACACACTCCATAAAGTATAGTGTCTTTCTATACAAATCCTTGTTATCACTATTTAAAATTTATAGTTTTTTTTCACTATCAGGGAATTTTAAATAATTGAAGGAGTCATTAATTCCTAACAGGGAATTTTAAATAATTGAAGGAGTCATTAATTCCAGCGACATAAATAATCTATAACAGTTTCTATATAAAATTTTCAACCAAATACTGTTTTCATTTATTATGAAGACTTCAGAAAAAACGTAAATGTTTCCGTTAGTACTTCACCGGTTGTAATTTTTACAATGGGAAAAAGTTCAAAACCGTATAAGACTGATTTGAAGACCTTACAAAAAATATCAGGACAAAACACAACCAATAAAAGTGCCGTGGTGCATTTTACATGTAGGATGTGTTTATTTCCTAGTTTATCAAGAAATGCTGCAAGCGTGATGTCTGGTAATGTTTCTGGCATTAAAACCCACTTCGTGACAGCAAATCCAATCAAGAGCATATATCTGCATTGCAAAGCGCACGTTTTGAATCTTGTGTCCACCAAGGACATATACGTCCTTGTGTCCACTTGTAAAGCGCTAGCTGAGATCCGGATTTTTTTGTATTCTGTAAGTCAGTTGATATGGTTTCGTTGAGGATTCTCAGCTGTATTGTTGACTTGCTGTGTCATTAAAATAAACCCCATACCCATTTCCTTTTATGCGTAAAGATTTTAAAATCTGAGACGTTCACTGGAAGGATTCAATTTGAAAAAAGTGGTAAATGTTATTGAGAACATTTATGTATTCATCCGAATTCCCGAAGATTTAACTGGCTATTCCGGAATTCCTGTTAATTAAACGCCGGGCTCAATCCCGACGTCCTGAAACTGAGGTCCTTTCGAGACGACCCTTAGTTAATGGTCGTTAATACTACTTTGTGAGCTTTCTTGTTCTTGTCTGTATACTCTTCTGCATTCCTTTTTTTTATTTTGGAGAGTCTGTAGGGACTCTGTAGTAGTCGACATTAAGCTACTCATCGAAAAACGTATCTTTTTTTTACCGCTGGTAAAGCGAAATGTCGCGTGGAAAATAAATATTTTAGATTAATTTTTATATACACTAAAATTAATGTTAAATTGTTGAAGAAATAGACAGAAAAAGTGATTAAACACGTCCAATCATTATTCATAGTCGAACCAGAGACCTATTATAAAAAAAACAGGTAAATACATTCCAAACCATGGATGTCACATGATCAGTCATGTGATAGCCTTGGTAAAATTAGATATCCATCAGAATTTCCTACGAGCATGCCACGTTGTTTATTTATAATACACATCTGTTCGTGATGTTTAATTACAATTTAAAGACGAGAATTTGCAGATAAATGGATAATTGAAATATAGACCTAATAATGCACGAAACGGAGGATTTAATGGACGAAGCAGACGAAAACCAGGATTGGTACCAAAATGGTAGGTTCAACTTCAGCATCCAAATTATGTGTCATTGCACATTAACATATCTTATCGTGTGTAATCTATAATATATTTCCTTATACTGGCAAATTATAAAAATTGTTTATACATTTATTTAACATTTAAATGTATGTCACTGTTTTTATCGGTCACATTCTCTTGCTGATTACAAGTACAATGTAAATAGATACTTGATACAGTTAAATATTTAATTAAAAGTATTTCTGCATTTATATGATCTTTAAGGTATTTATAATCGTTATAGTGTTCTTCAAACGGTAACATGTCTTTGTGAATAATTGTCTTGAGATAAATGATAATTACGACAAACTTTAAAATTATTCATCACTTCTGTGGTGTCAGTACTAGCATACAATGTTTGTTTACTATTTTGAGAAATGGCTAATGGTGGTGATGTACTGGCTAGTCTATGAAGTGAGATAGTTTATTTCTTTATCGTGACGGAGAGGGCACCTGTATTGTTCTTTCAGTCATGTCGTAGGTGCAGACATTTTCAGTGTCATTTTTTGGGTAACTTGAAGTCAGTTTTTGTTTATTAATGTGATAAGATATAAGTTAAAAAGTACATGTACGTACTGGGACTATTATACTAAGAGTAAGTTACTAATAGTCCAAGGTACGTAGTAAAATGGAAACTGGGCTATGTCAAGCTTAATAATATAATTATAGGTAGAATATATGAGGGTCGTAACGAGGGTACCTTCATGACGAATAACGGTATAAAATCTTGCCAAATGACGTTTAACGGTAATTTTTGGTGTATGACGATAAAATGTACATTTCTTTATGACGATAAAAAAAATCGACTGATTTTGACGAATCACGTTAATCATTTCCAAAAATAACGGTAGCGTTAATTTTTTTAGACCTCTGACAAATCACGATAAAATTTTAACCAATTTGACGCTAACGGTAGCCGACAATGACCGTTTGACGCTTGACGGTAAAGGGCATTCCTATCCTCATATATGCTATTCACATGGAACATTCTCGATATTTTTGAATTCATTGAGATTTTCGGGAAATAAGTCGAGGCCGCTCATATGAGACTGCAACCTAACAATTAAATAAAATCCAAGATGACATAGAAAACATGCAGTAAAAAGGGCGGGGGGAAGGGGGGTGGGGGGTGGGGGTTACACGCTTTTGGGGTGTAGAATGTAGGGGATTAGAAGGTGGGGATGTGTATGGGATATAATGGGTAAAAAAATGCTTCTGGGTGAAAAAAAAGCAAATAAGTGAGCACCACCTTGTCACCCTCTCCATGCACAGATACAACGAACTTTCTTATTTCATGTCATTGTTATTTTCAAATGACATCTTTTGTTTGAAAGTATATAGGCAAAATAAAGGCAGGGTTCATAAAGGGCGACCGTGAGAACTGATTTGAAAAATACTATGATCTGATAGTCCACACAGGATGGTCGTATAGACCATGTTGACAAATGAATGAATATACGTCCATATCAAAGTTTTTAAATGTTTCAATTACTGATATACATAGGGGACTATTTAGATTGCAGCAGACCATAGTTTGTTGGGGTTATGTTTTTGTGATATTTTAACCGATCGCTAGGAGCGTCATGTCGCATGTTTGATTTCCAATAGCTGCACCGTTGGGGTTAAAATCGTATACGATAGCATTGAACTATTGGTGACCATGACGCAATTTTGGGAAACCGTTAAGTTCGAAAAATGTCTAATGAACTTTTTTCAAATTAAATGCACAGTTATAACCCTATAAGGTTGATTGCATAAAAAAAGTAACAAAATAACACAGTATAATACATTACAAGAAAATTAAGAGTACTAGACGTACTTTACATAATGTATATATATCATGCAAATGTTGAGTCCACTCTTCTCAGTGACCATGACTTTTAAGAAATGGAGATTAACAAAACTGACCTTAAAACTGTTGATAACGTATTATGTAGAATAGCTATTAGATAGACAATGATGTTGTTTTAGACAGACAGTTACGAACATGAGATATGGTCGTATATCACCGGTTTATATTGACCAGTGCTAATAAGTGGTTAATAATACACGTAATATTATTACATTAATTTACAAGTACATGTAATATTCCCTAGGCTTTACCATAATTTTCCGTGTTCAGATTGCCGATTCCACACGTTAATGACGTCAGTCGACCGAAATTGTGTTAACGAATGGACTCAATTCCACTCAATCTACCAATTCTTCTTCCTTTTCTTCTTCAGTATGAATGGAGTTATAAACCATTGACACGTGTCATACTGTCACGTTGATCTTATATATTAACTCAAGTTTCTCAGCTTCTTACTAAATTTTTAAAATGCTTTAATTGAATTTATTACAAATTTTACATCCCCATTTTTCTCACCAGCAACGAACAAGATCAATACTAATGGGTTATTATAAATATTCATGATAAAAAAAAAAATGGAAAAAAAATATCTGATATTTGCTGGTTTCAAAATTACATGATTGTAAGTTCAGTTTGCCTCGTGCTATGATATAATGTATTATTAATTTGAGTTTTTGTCCGTGTGTAACAGTATATTTATGCCTCACTGTAGAGCTACTAAACGACCGGACGTCGTCTAATACTATGTTACACGACCGACAGAAGAGTTCAAGACTTACCCGTATAGTGAAAAATAGTTTGCTACCTGCGGGTGTCCGAAGTAAGTTTCTTAAAGATGGAATTTATATGGTTTATTGTAATCATTCCAAACAAGCTAGTTTTAGTATTTTTCTTTTATCGTTATTTCCAAGGAGTGATTAATTATTATAAATACTTGTCAATTTTATCACATTGTCTTTCTGCATCGTCAATTTTATCACATTTTCTTTGTTCATTCATCTTCAATGATACAAGTCTGTCTCCTTTATTATTGACGTTAAAATGGTGTTTGACATAATGATAACGCATTTTTGTTTTTGTTGGCTTTTGTTTTTACTTTTGCCCGTTGTAACTGTAAAATTTAGGTATGGAAAATATGATCCAACATTAGATCTACTTTTTGTTTTTTGTGTCATTTTTGTTCATATTTGTTCACACTCCGCCAACTATATGTTCATTGAAACATTTTTGCCATTTTTTACCATAGACCGGAATTTTTGTTCAACTACAAGCAATTTATCAATATAAATTGTTTAAAATGTCATTATAAAAATCCTTGTGGAATTTAGGATCACTTAATTTAACATCATTAAGGTATAGGTGTTTTTATTTAAGAAGATTTATTTTATGGTTTGTAATCTGTTTGGATGAAAATACTTGGAATTTTAAATACCAGCGGAATCTAACTGACACGTGCATCCTTCTCGCATCTGTCACGATAACTTAAAGGCGTCATGGTCTACCGTCAAGACTACCCATAATTGATTGTTGTTTACTCAACATCCAGTCGCAAATATTACATGGATGTTTTGTATGAGAACACATTTTACAATACATCGAACAATTATGAACACTGCAAAGTGGAAGACCGGATTGAGGGAAAAATTAAGACTGCTACTGTTTAAAGATAAGACGGAACGTTGGATAAGGGCAGACTATTTGCCTCGGTTGTAACAGGCGACTATGAACTCTACGAAGGGTTTTTGCAAGAGTTCTTACATACAGAGAGTGCATGTGGTAAGCTATCAATACCGGGAATCGGATTTCAAGACCCCATTTCAAACGGATGTTGCTGCTTACTTATACATCCCTCATAGCCATACCGACACTTTTTCTGACAGCATGAGTCATACTGCCGAACAAGGCATTCAAAGTCTAAGCATGGAAGTATTATATTACCAATGGCCCAAGTAATACAGTTTCTATACCCCAGTCACGCTTTGGGTCAATAAGCACGAGACAAAAGCAATACAAATACGTGACAGTCCTGTTCTTAATTGTGGATAATGTCCATTCATTTGTAAATATAAATCTGGAATTGTTGGGCAGAAGTTGATAACTGCCTCGTCATATCACAGGTACGGAGCAAAACAAAATTGCGTTCTTCTGATGAAAAAATAAAACGATAATAAAATTAATCTGGTCTAAAATTTTCTGTGGGCAGCTGCATAGATTATAAAAATAAAAACATGACATACTTCATTGCAACAGTCCATTGAAAACGCATTGCAATAAAATAAATTGAACCTCCTTATCGTTCTTGGTAAGGATATTCTTTAGGGAGGAGGGGGAGGATTTATTTTCAGCCATTTGTGAGGAACGATTTAGTCGATTATGTATTTTTGAGAAAGTGCTGCATTACTATTAATGTTTCATGCACTACTTTAGTCTTCCACATTTTGTTGGTCAGGATCCCTCTCCATCCCCCCCCCCCCCCCCCCCCCCCAAAAAAAAAAAACCAAACTGGCCGACCGCTAACAAAGATGGTGAATGATAGCGATATATGTATTTTCACCATTATGTTAATGATAGTCCCTGACTGTCTTACTCATACTACATTTTTTTGAAGGTGAAGGTCATCTGGGATCTGCACTTAATTTGCGAATCATGTCGGAGTCTCAAACACTTCCCGACTCTTTCAGTATTTATACTCATTCGGGTAACAATTGTTTTTTTTTACCAGAATTTCCTGTCCGTTTTTTTCACGGATATCATGCGTCAACATGATTGTCTTTTCGTCGTTTGCGTGATTAACTCATCAGAGTTAAACGTGAATACAGCTACACATTTTGTTCATCAAAATGTTGTTTTCTGGCAGTACTTGTAGTTAATCGACTGGTCAGCCTTGGATACGACCTTAATGACCGATTAATCTATAAATATGTCTTGTCTAGATTATTCTACTTGTAACACCAATAATACATTTTCTATCGCACCTATAGCAACATTCTTGTACCATGTAAAATCGTATTTTATCTTGTTCACTAATTTCTGGTTATGTCTGTTCGTTCAAACATTATAACAAGCTGTATAAGATCAATGTTGTAAGAATAATCTTCGTGTTTGGTCATATAAGATATTTGAAAACTCAACTTGATATTAATACTGTTTAAAGTTTATATGTATGGCAATAAATATTTGAATTTTATAATATACAATAATTGCGATACAATGCACACTGTAGCAGAAATTATGACAAGGTTTATGAACTAGATTTCCTACATTTTACTGGAATGCAAATGTAGTAATGATTTTTTTTGATGGAATTACAAAGTTTGAAAGAGAAACTAAAATTGAAACTTTAGAGCTATACATTAGAACCAGACACTAAGAAGGAAAACTTGATATCGTTCTGTACCGATTAAAATGACATTGGCACATTTTTTTTAGATTTGATAATCTATTACACAAAATATTTGAAATATTCATTCAAAGAGAGTATATATATTCGTTTTAAGCACGTCGATATTGTGATTTGGCTATATATGGTTTTCTCAGCGCTTTTGACTATGCGTCATCATGTAATCAATGAAAATTATAAATATTGCACATATATGATTGTATTTGTCACTTAAAATTATATTGTTTACACATGTACACATCTTTAAATGCCCATAGTTATCACCATTGTTTACTATAGCATTTACGTATTTATTTTGCTTTAATGAAGCCAATATTCAGGGTGGCAGAAATCATAAATTATATATATATTGATCCTTGGAACATGATTCAATTCTTCACATAGCTACTTCGTGGTATTGATCACATACAAAATGGGTTTGCATGGTATGGAGTGGTGATTGTTTTAATAAATTGATAAATGAATAACATTAACATTTATAGGAGAAGTTTGGCCTTAGTATACATTGATCACAGTTTTTAAATTTTCAGTTGTTGAGTGGTTCAGTTCATGGAACTAGGTAATATTGATTGGCACACCTCTGTCATATGAAAGAGATTTTTTCAGCAGATTACCCTGATCAGAAATTGATTACATGTTATTTGTAACATACAAGCTTGTCGTATGGTTTTGGTAGTTTTCAATATTAGATTTCCAGAAGTCTTTATTAAGAATATTGATAAGCCACTCCAATCCTTCAATTATATATATATATAGTCATGTATGCGAATAATTAAGCTTTAGGACCTGTCTAGACGATTCACAAGGACCATAACTACACCTCCTTTTAGCTAAATTTTATGAGTGAGAGGGGGGAAAACCGCTGAATCCCGAAATTCCCGAAAAATAAAGCATTCTTTCCTGAATCCCGAAAACTTAATCATTAATTTCAGATAAGTGTAAATCACGAATTCCAGCAAAAATAAAGCCCAATCTCGACGCCCCGCGTGATTCACATGGCAATCCTTCCACAACGCATTGGTTTTTGTTGTTATTGACTTTTGTCTTATGCATGATTTGTAAACATTTATTAAACATGATGACAATAGTTTTTTGTAAAATGCATAGAACATGATATTTAAGAAGTTGAAATTTAAGTAACGGCCTTTAAGTAAACTACTGGTATATATATATTTCAGACCTCCAACTTGCCGCAGAGCTTGGTAAAGCTTTACTTGAAACCAACAGAGAACTGGAAACACAGGCGATGCATTTACAGCAGGTCAAACATGAACAAAGTCTGGAGATTGAGGTAAAAAAAATATAGATCACCCATTTATTAAAAATGAAAAATAAAGGTCCAGTGGCCATTATTTCAGAACATGACACTAATGAGGCATAAGCTGTCAAATTCATGTTCACCGATGTAACTCAAATTCTCATATTTGATTTATAACATCATAGAATAATTACATTACATGCATGTATGTTTCATTATAATCCATAGTTTTGATTGGCTGACAACAATTATGACTGAGGCACTCAAATTTAATATTTTATTTACGTACAAAATACTCTGACTATGACTGCACGTGCTATCAGCTATCAGCAAACGAAAAGCTTAATATAAATCTTAATTGCATGGCAACTTGGTTGTAGCATAAAAATGTAATTAGAATTGAATATTTCATAGCTTATTACAAAATGTGCTTCGGTCAAGGCTTTTATACCCCAATAAAATTATAAAAAGAAGCATTTAATTCTTAATTAAAACGTACATCCAAATGACAAATATTTCTAAAGAAACAATTAACAATATACACAGAGTCTTTATAATGTATCTAAGAATTTCATGTGTATTTTAGACTAAACACCTTCAATTAAGATGACCTCCGATGAATTCCGATGGTTATATGACCTGATGTAAACATATATATATATAAATACTCAGACAAGCACATGCAAGGTCTGGTTGATTTCATGTCATAGATTTAAAAAATGTGTAAATCATCGTTTGGCCTGTATAAGAATGATTTTGTGGACAGATTCAGTCAACGAGAGGGTTTTTCCGTGTGGCTCCCTTGTTTCACTTTTCAATGTTGACATTCTTTTCTTTTTAATAACAAAACATGCGTAACAATTGTGTAACCCATCTTCAGTTATTTAATTGAAGGTCTCATGAATACGGATTCAAATAAGGTTGAATTATTGACTTGCAAGCCAATAAAATACATCAGCAATGTTTTGAGCTTATATTGATAAAATTGGACCAAATTGACTGCCTCATGAATACGTTTTCAAGTGAGGTTGAATTATTGAATTGCAAGCCAATAAAATACATATTTTGACAAAATTGGACCATATTGACTGCTAATATTTAATATTATTCCACAATTACGCTTTTATAAATGTTTGAAAAAACAACATATTTTAAATTTTTTGTCTAATTCGTAGCTAATCCTTAAAAGGAGAGGTGTATAAATGGTATTATTTTCTTAAAACATCAAACAACTTGCCGTCAAATGTCGATACAGGCTTAAAGGTAAAATCATATCAGTATGATTTTTTATACGCCTGTTTATGGGGACGTATTATGGTATACTGTTGTCCATCTGTCCATCTGTCCCTCCGTCGTCAACATGTAGGACAATAACTCTAACGCTTTAACCAATTTGCATGAAATTTTGGTGAATTGTCTATATCTATTGACGTGAGCTCCCTTTCAATTTTTAAAAATTTTCGATTTTATGTTTCCGAGTTATGGGGTTTTATTCATTAACAAGAGGCTGTCAGAGTGAAATCTGGACCCCAAAACAGGATCAAGTAAATAAATATAGCATTCAGAAAATTAGTTTATACAGAATAACAAACAAACCTACCACAAATACTTCAAACAATTTACCAAAGAAAAGAAAAAAAAAATTTCCAAAATATCATTTGTCATTAATACATTGTCTTTTAAAAATCTATAAAACTTATCTATAATTATTTTCAAAATGTCTGATAATGAACAGTAAATTTCAAACTATATTTATACCATCCTACAGAGCCTATCATCAACAACACTTAGGAAACACAAAATTTTCAAATAAATCTGTCACTCCAATTATAATTTTGTGATTGATAATTACCACATGCTTTGTTATCTTAAAAAAACTTAGTGTAATCAAACTTCATATATATAATTAATAGTTCCCAATATTTTTTCTTTCATTTGTCACAAAAATATATGCAACTTATCTATCAATGTCAACAACTTTATCTACACAATGTAATGTAATGAAATATATCCTTTAATAAAAATAGTCTATTATCTAATGAAAATGATATTTGCAAATCTGGACCCCCATACAGGATCAAGTAAAAATTAAACATTAACACACCCAACAAAAATAAAATACCACATAACAACTGTGACCTACGTACTACCTATCAACCTTCAAAACACACATGACTTAAAAAAAATAGTTATAAAGGAATTTTTGACAACTCCTGACTAAAATCAATTGAACAGATACAATCATTGATAGACTATCTATCCATATACTTATTAATTACACCATTTCTGTTCAAAGGGAAATAACTCAAAATAAAAATAAATCATGTACTAAATATCACTTTTCGCTACTGAAAGGTCTACAACTCAACAGCGAGAAAAGCTAAAATCATGAAAATTGAACTTGACCTTCATTTAGTCACAGGAAACAACATATATAAATTTGAAAAGATTTCCTCAAAGCGTTATTATGATAATGAATGGCCACTGTTTGGCCGCACGCCCACCGTACATCCCCAAATAAATAACTGATTTTTCCTTTGAAAATCTGGTTGAAAATGGGGGATTTTCCAGTTTTCAGACAATAACTCAAAAACAATTTCACCAATTTGCAAGAAACTTTGGTGAATTGTTTATATCTATTGATGTGATCTCCCTTTTGATTTCTGTAAATTTTAGATTTTACGTTTCCAAGTTATGGGGTTAAAAAGGGGGATTTTCCAGTTTTCGGACAATAACTCAAAAATGCTTTGAGCAGTTTTCATGCAACTTTGGTGAATTGTTTATATCTATTGACATAAGCTCCCTTTCAAATTTTAGAAATTTAAGATTTTACGTATATGAGTTGTGGGATTTTATTCATTAAAAAAGGGGGATTTTCCAGTTTTCAGACAATAATTCAAAAATGCTTTAAGCAGTTTTTATGAAATTTTGGTATTGGATATAAATATCTGCTGCATTGTGCAAGGAAACAAATCTGAAATGAATACATGTGTACTGATATATAATGGGGCAGCCCCGATATTCAGACATACCATGGTCAATATAATACTTCCATGATGATACACAAGTTATGCTGACAGTGTGCTTACTAGTGATTGGATTGAATATGACCATTATGGTTAGCTAAATTAAATGTTTATTTCACTAATTTTAGTTCCTATCAAAGCAGTTGGAAACTGCCAGAGACAATTGTGATTCTCGGATGAAGGTTTATGAGGAATTGGACAGACACAACCAAGAGTTGGAGAAAACCAATCAAAGACTAGTTTTAGACTCCAAGGGAGATAAACAAAGAGTAGAAAAGTATGTTTTGCAAACTATGAGTTGATTCTGGTCATACTTATTCTTAGTGTCTTTGAAATGAATGCTACAGACAACACACAATTCATTAGTGGCTTTAAAGAGAAAGCTACAGACAATACACAATTCATTAGTGGCTTTAAAATGAAAGCTACAGACAACACGCATTACATTAGTGGCTTTAAAGTGAAAGAACAGACACACAATTTTATTTGATCTTACTTATTCATTAGTGGCTTTGAAGTGAAAGCTACAAACAACACAATTTTATTTGATCTTACTTATTCGAATCATAAGTGTTTTAAAGTGAAAGAACAGACAACACACAATTTTATTTGATCTTACTTATTCATTAGTGTCTTTAAAGTGAAAGCTACAGACAACTAACATTACATAAGTGGCTTTAAGTTGAAAGCTACAGACAACAAACAATTCATTATTGGCTTTGAACTGAAAACTACAGACAACACACAATTCATTAGTGTCTTTAAAGTGAAAGCTACAGACAACACACAACTTTATTTCATATAAAACCTTTGTAGCAAGAAAACAAATAAAACTACACCACTTTTTCGTTTTCTTTTCTAAAAACACATAATGGAGCAGGATCTGCTGACCCTTTCATAGCACCCTTAGATCACCCCTTGTTTTAGACCCACTTTTTATACGACCGCAAAAATTAAAAAATTTTTGGTCGTATATTGGTATGACGTTGGCGTCGTCGTCGTCTGGCGTCGTCCGGCGTCGTCCGAAGACACATTGGTTTTCGCACTCTAACTTTAGTTTAAGTGAATGGATCTCCATGAAATTTTACCATAAGGTTCAATACCACGAAAGGAAGGTTGGGATTGATTTTGGGGGTTATGGTACCAACAGTTAAGGAATTAGGGGCCAAAAAGGGGCCAAAAATAAGCATTTTTGTAACTTCCAGACAATAACTTGTGTATAAGTGTATGGATCTCTCTGACATTGTACCACAAGGTTCCATATCACAAAGGAAAGGCTGTAATTGATTTTGGGGGTAATTGCCTCAAAATTTTAGGAATTAGGGGCCAAAAAAGGGGCAAAAAACAAGCATTTTTCTAGTTTCATGACAATAACTTGTGTGTAAGTGTTTGGATATTTCTGAAATTGTACTACAAGGTTCCATATCACAAAGGGAAAGCTGGAATTGAGTTTGGGGGTAATTGCCCGAAACGTTTAGGAATTGGGGGCCAAAAAGGGGCCAAAAATAAGCATTTTTCTAGTTTCCAGACAATAACTTGTGTTCAAGTGTATGGATCTCTCTGAAATTGTACTGCAAGGTACCATACCACAAAGGGAAGGCTGGGATTGAGTTTGGGGGTGATGAATCATAAGGGGGTTCAAAAAATTTGGGGGGGGGGGGGGGATTTTTTTTTTCCTTTTTTTTTTCTTTTAAAATTTTCCATTTTAAGTTGGATATTTCTGATTAATATTTAAAAGCAAATAATAATGATATGGTAGGAGATACACACCAAACAGGATGTGTAAATTATTATATAATAAGTATTGTGCAATAGCAAGAAATTTTCAATTGCACAGTATTGCACAATAGCAAGAAATCTTCAATTGCACAGTATTGCGCAATAGCAAGAAATCTTCAATTGCACAGTATTGCGCAATAGCAAGAAATTTCCAATAGCACAATATTGCGCAATAGCAAGAAATTGTCAATTGTACAGTATTGCGCAATAGCAAGAAATATTCAATTGCACAGTATTGTGCAAAAGAAGATACTTCGTATAAATTGCTTATTTCTTGATCAATTTCAACGGGGTTTTATTCTTGAATTCTTGGGGTTCTTAAATATGCTGAATCTAACCGTGTATTAAGTTTTTGGATTTTGGGCCCCGTTTTTAAATTGGTCCACATTGAGGTCCAAAGGGTCCAAAATTTAACTTTGTTTGATTTCATCAAAAATTGAATTATTGGGGTTCTTTGATATGCCGAAAATAACCGTGTATTTAGATTCTTAATTTTTGGTTCCGTTTTCAAATTTTCTACATTAAGGTCCAAAGGGTCCAAAATTAAACTTAGTTTGATTTTAACAAAAATTGAATTTTTAGGGTTCTTTGATATGCTGAATCTAAACATGTATTTAGATTTTTGATTATGGGCCCAGTTTTCAAGTTGGTCCAAATCGGGGTCCAAAATTAAACTTTGTTTGATTTCAACAAAAATTGAATATATGGGGTTCTTTGATATGCTGAATTTAACCATGTATTTAGATTTTTGATTTTTGGGCCCCGTTATCAACTTTGTCCACATTGAGGTCAAAAGGGTCCAAAATTAAACTTTGTTTGATTTCATCAAAAATTGAATTCTTGGGGTTCTTTGATATGCTGAATCTAACCATGTATTTAGATTTTGGATATTGGACCATAATAGGTGAATGTCCAATTTAAAATTTTTAAGTTCTTAGACCACATTCATTCTGTGTCAGAAACCTATGCTGTGTCAAATATTTAATCACAATCCAAATTCAGAGCTGTATCAAGCTTGAATGTTGTGTCCATACTTGCCCCAACTGTTCAGGGTTCGACCTCTGCGGTCGTATCAAGCTGCGCCCTGCGGAGCATTTTATTTATCTATATTTTCGAAAATAGCAGAATATAAACTACATTTTAGCAAATAATTAAAATATTATTGTTTTTAATTTACGCCCCACCCCCACCTCCCCTCATTCTACATTAAGAATAGTAACAAGCGCTGATACATGCTTTGAAATGCTTGATTAGATTAGATATTTATATTACTATAACTTTTTATCTACTGTCAGGTTATTAGCCACTGTTGAGCATTTGGAGGATAAATGTGAAGAGTACCAGAAAAAAATTGAAGATATGAAAAAAGAAGAGACAATAAAACAACGTCAACAAAAACAAGAAAGCAGACGTGCCTTAAGTTTGGCAAATCTAAGGGAAAGTAGTGATTATTTAAAGAATATATACATTTCTGATTTACAGTGGACATACAATGATCAATTTAAAAAATTACCAATGAATCCATATGAAGTTGAAATAAAGAAACTTCAAGACAGCATGAAACAAATGAAGGCACAAAAAATCATTGATAAAAGGAAAAAGGAAGACTTAGAAACAGAAGTTTCATTATTGTGGGATGAAAATGAAGCCTTGGACAAAAAGAACAAAGAGCTTGAAGAACAAATTCAAATTTTGGAGGATGACCTCCAGAAATCTAGACTCGAGACTACAAAAACATTGGCTTATGAATTAAGTAAATTTGATCCACAAAATGTGATAGCGAGTGAAGTAGAAGTTGATGATACAGAATTCACGTCTAAGGGGAAGCTGGTTAAACTGGACGGAGGTGGTAGTTTATATGGTAGTACCGAATCTGTCAATCAAATTGCACCAGACACAAAAGAACTGTCACCAGTAGATCCTGATAAAAACAGTGTTTCAATTTTGAATGAATTAGAAACTCAATATCACAATTTATTTCAAAAGTATGAAGATTTGTTGCAAGGGAAGGGTAAAAGATCTGGAAGCTTCAATGAAGCAACAGGAGAAAGTTTTGATGTGGTACTACAAAGACAACTTGCTGTGTCCCACAAAGAAGTTCAGACATTGTTGAAATTACACACAAAAGATGCATCCTGTGGAGATGCATCTGCTGAGGATCCACCGCCATATAAATCAATTTTTAGAGATATATTTGCAACGTTGAAGAAATCTAGGATTGAGGAATCAGGGGAACAACCTACCTCGGCTAGTGGAACACCTTTAACAAGTCCAGTTTGTCCAGATGAAAAACCAGTTCAGTGAGAAAGCTGAAACACTGCCAAATTAAACAGTATTCTTCAATACCATTATGCATATGAATGTAATTTGTTTTTTAAGTCAGTACATGCAGCATTTCATACCACGGTTCTTATCATAAAAATATAATGATAAAATTGATATCAAGTTGTACTGAAATGTTAACAACTTGCAAGTTATTTTATGTGCTAGCTTTTTGTGAAAATAGTCCAAAAGGATTTTCTCATGAACATTTATGTTCGTTAACATGATGTAATGGTTATGAAACCCAGAATGGTTGGAAAAATGTCATTAATATTAAATTGTCTATTATAAAATTTATATCAAATTAATATAAAGTATATTCCATAATATAAATATATTTCAATGTGTATATATACACGTCTAACCATGTGACAACTTTATGACAGACATTCTCCATCGGATAACATGTGGTTATACAGGGCTAACACCATAATATATATATACGTCTAAAAAGTGTACAACAACAGCAAAAAAATATGTGTGAAACACTATACAATATTCAATAATATTTTGGATAACAAATGTCCTTCATCAGTATGAGCAGCCTATGTTAAATTGCGTGATTAGCTTTTCTAGTAAACAAAAATTTTGAACATCATACAAATTAAACACCGACCATTGTTTGTAGAAAAGTTAAGTTATATAATACTATAATCTTGAACTACCTAAATAATAAGAATTTACAATATATGGAAAGTTAGAGTTTTATTATTTTATAATCTTGTGAACTAGATTGAAGACCTGTTGGTGACCTTCTGCTGTTGTCTGTTCTATGGTCGGGTTGTTGTCTCTTTGACACATTCCCCATTTCCATTCTCAATTTTAGATACAAATTAAGTATTTACCAAGTTTACAATACACTTTTAAGCTGTATAGTTTATATACTGTGTATAGTATTGTTTTCCATAACGATCTACCACTTTTATAAGAATGATCATTGATTATAATAATATATTTATATAAATATATTCAAAATAAAATACATGTAGTATGAAAATGCATCTACATATTTATTTATCCATGTTAAACATGTAGAAACATTTGTGTACTATTTTATTTTGAATGAATTATAAATATTAACAATGACATGAATACTGGATATCCTCATTCAGTTAACAATGGGACTGTGTTATGGTAATTTCATTCTTTGTTTCAGCTTAAAGTCATTTTAATTAAGAAATTGGTTACATCACATTTCAACATGTTTTCGTACAATCATATTTTTTTTTAATAAAGAGATCTTTAGTTGTGTTCTTCAGCATGTTCTGTTGATGACTCAATGAATTATACCCCATATATTATTTGTATCTAATATTCAACATATTCAAGATTCCACCTAACACCAACAACTTTGGCTACCCTGATTGGTTTAATATAATTACCCTAAAATATAATTTAAAGCAAACCAATATTTTTGTCACCTTTAGGTTGTCTGAATGTTACTTGAGGACAGATCTGACCATCAGTGACAAACTTACTACACCTAAAATATCTGAGGTTTTTGAGGTGGTTTACAGTATAAAGATAAATACTGTAAATTCAGAAATTATTGCGATTTTTAAAGAATGAACAAAAATGCGATAATAATCATTGTGATTTTGGGGAAAGCTGCATACAGATATATGTTACTGATATCAAAATGCGAGTTATTATTGCGATACACACCCAGTTGCATTATTCCCATTAATAAAAACCTCGCAATAATTTCTGAATTTACAGTAGTCAAACAAAATAAAGAATAGAGAATTATCGAGTGCTAAAAAATAAAAATAGAGATTAATGGGCCAAAAAAATTAAAATAGAGAAAATTGGCCTAATTTTTTGAAATTACAGAAATGGAGATCCCCATATCTGCTTTTATAATAATGTAATGCTAACCATTGTATCTCTATGTCTGTTATTGAAACAAGACAATCAAAACTGTGTTACTATGTAGCTAGTTTCATTGAAGCAGCATTATTATGGTGAATGACTTTCGATGTTTGACCAATACTTTTATGATATTATTGTTGTTGTTTCCATGGAAACTCTAGTCTTTTATTATTGTCTAATTTATGTTGGAGTGAGCTATTTTGTTTTCAATAAAGCATTATATAACTGTTTTTATGACTCTACTAATTTGCTGTGTGATACTGGACTGATTTCCTTTGAAATGATTTACATACATTGTACCTGTTGGGTGTTGATTGAACACAAAAGTTTTCTAAACATATAAATCACATTTTTCACTGTTCATGTAATAAAGCTATGGAAAGATAGATGGGTATTTTGGAAGGTAATAAAGTAAATGCTTGGATTAAGTTTGCATGGATATCTAAAGGTACCTTTGAATAATACGTAAAAAAAAGGAAAACTGGAATTAATAAACATTTGGACAGAACATTAGACCATACCAACCACCAACATCAAACTCTGAAAGTAGGTGTACAAACAAAGACATACTTAAATACATGGTTCCCATAGCCTGACTTTGTACAGGCAGTATAAATGTGTTTAACCCCCCCCTTTATTTGTCCTATCCAGCACAATAAAAAATAACCAACAGATGATCACTAACTTGAACAAGAAATAGAAGACCGCTCAAAATTTGGAAAGCAGGTTCAAAATGTGCTCTCTACTACAGGAAGCTATTGAAGGTAGCCATAGCTGTGGGTTGAATACTGCCTCTTAAGAAAACAAAAAATAAATTGTTGACACAAAGATATGTCTTGCCTGTATGTAGTTTTGATAGTATAATGCAAATGCTGAAATTGAAATATTAAACAATTATTTAAGCATGTAAACCATGCCAAACTTTCAAAACCATGACTGAGTGTAAATGCCCAAATAATCTTGGTGGAAAGGAGGTATGCTAATAGAAGTGCATGCAATATAATTGATTTGTCTTCAGTGGTAGATTGTAAGTATTTCTATGGACACCAATGAATCACAGTTTATGGCCAAACTCAGTAAAGACCTGTCTGAATTCCAATCAATTGATCAATTGACTGTCATCTTTATGATATTTTTTTGTTAAATAACCAAGAATTTACTAAATATGCTGCCAAAATTTACCCAAAGGAACTTAATTACTTGAAATAAATCAAATATAAACAGCAATATCTGGTCTTTTCCTAAATTAGATATCTTTATTTAACATGGGAAACTCTGCACAAAAATTTAAGACAAAAGTGAGAATTTTTCATTCCCTAATGTATGTTTTCCCTTTTGGACGATGCTCATGGTGTATTACTGGTAAATTATTAAGTCAAGGATTTCATTACCACAAATAAATAAAACCTTTACTAAATTCTTTCATAGATAAAAAGATTTTGTTTGGAAGTTTGGCTGTAGCTGTAGAAAACTTATTACAAACCGGATAGCACATCCTATTTTTACGGTGATGTTGTTTACAGAGCCCGTAAATTTATAATGGTACAAATATTTATTTTTTATCAATAAATTTAAATTAAAACCAAACTATTGTTATGCACACAATGTACATTCACGGTCAATCAATCTGTCTCTAAAATTCATGGTTCAAATACAACATTAATCAAAGTGATGGAAATCACTCATGGAAAGATTGGAAGAGTAGTTTTGAATAACTTTAGATTATATTTCCGTATGGTGTGGATAAAAAAGAACATTAATATAGCACTATTGCATTTTCTACAGGTCTTCAGAAGGAAAGGCACTTTTTCATTAGATAAAATGATCTAAATATGATTCAATGAGAGTGGGTCAACAATTTCTTTTAAATTGCAATCAATATCTTGACCAAATAATGTTCCCTGTTACATGTTTCACTTTTTACATTTTATCTTTAGAAACTGAAGTACCAAATATACATTCTTTTATAAAAAGTTCAACATTTATCGTTGTAGGACATGAGACCAACAGATAGGCATGAAACTAAGATCTTTTTAATCTAAAAAGTTTTTTTTGGGACATTCTGTAAGTTGAAAAAAATTGGTAAAAATCTTCATTAAAGGGCAATAACTTCAATAAGAAGTTGACCTACTATTTCAACCTTTTTATCAATCTTCTTGATGATCATTTTTGCTATGTAAAGTTTTTCTCTATTATTGTTTTCAAGATAAAAGGCAAAAATGAAAAAAAATTGGTAAAATTTGTCAATTAAGGGCAATAAATCCTATAAGAAGACCTCTGACAGTTTTGAAGTAATTGGACATTAGGTAGATCTCACTATTCTAAACATTTCTGCCCCTGTCAGAGTTTATCTATAGCGGTTTTCCAAAATAATAGACAAAGCTTGCATTTTACCCCTATGTTTTATTTTTAGCCATGTCAGCCATGTTGGTTGGCAGGCGGTGTCATTGAACAAATTTTTAAAACTATATCAGTGTTCCAGCTAGGATTTTAAAAGGGCAGGGAACCAATCATGATAAGGGCACTTTAGCACGATGATTGATATTTCAAAAAGGGCATGTCAAACATTGTCTTATGTTAAGGGGACGACCATTTGATATTCTGGTGGGGGGCCAGGAGGATTTGTTTTGGATCAGTTATTTATTTTTGTGAACTAGAAGAAGAGATTATCTATTTTCTGCACTGATGAAGCATGGTTTTTCATTTTCATTAAAACAAGGGACTGATTATTTATTTTCACAATTATATTTATAATATTTGAAAACACACCATTTTAAAAATTTTTTTTATTCCTAAATAGATAATAAGTGTATAGTCAAATCATTATGTACCATTTAATCAGAATTAATCATCATCCTGTGGAAGTGAATCTTCTGAATTCCAAACTGCAGGTATTGCATACGTACAAGGTATTAAATGGGGCTGTAACTAAGCCTCTTTTTAAAGTAATGTCAAACATATTTGCCGAGCGGAGCGAGGCAAAAAAATTTGGCGAAAGGGTTTGGGAGCCGCTGAAGGCCACAAGAAGACAATATGTTGGTCTCAAAGCAAAATATATAGATTCAGTGTAAGACTTTTAGTTTTTAGGGACAACATCAAAAGACCAATATGTAGGATAAAGCAACAAGTGTAATTCAGAAACTTAAGTATGTGGCTGCTTATTTTTGTTTTTTTTTTAGTGTTTTGGCTTGCAGAAAATCTTTTTTATATACCTGTCAATTATGTGTTTTTGTTCTCAAATTAAGTTAAGAGGGTGTGATTATCATTGATATAACTATGTCAGGTAAGTTTTTATAACACATTTCAATTACAACTTGATGTAGTTCTTAACTGAGATACAATTTGAAAATTCATGTAGTTTGTAAAATTAGATAAAAAGTCCTTAAATAAAGTTAAACTCAAGTTTAAAAAAATTACTAAATTACAAATGGAATGCAACACTAAGAGAATAAAGAAGGGCAATCAATGAACAAAAGACAAACCCTGGAACAGATAAAACACAAAACGGCAAACATTATGACAAATAACACTGAAAACTAAAATTAAATGTGAAACATGGATCACGAAAAACTAGGGCTGTATGCCAGAGGGTGAACAGAACTTGCTTCTTGGAAGGCATTCGAAGTAAAAACAATTTGATATGAAGACAAGCTTTTGTTTTTGAAATTTCCTACCTCAGGCATTTGCCTCCATTTAGTTACAGCCCTATGACTTATGAAAGTGAGGTAAATGTTCCTGAGTTAATATACCTCTAGTTAAATGAAACCCATTTTCAGACATTTCAAGTACATTAATATTTATACATTGCATTATAAAAGATTTGGAAAGTTTTTCCCGAAAAAAATATGAAAAAAGACGAATTTTGTAGGAATCTGGTGCCATTTCATACTTTTGAATAGCATTTATAAAATGGCTTAAAAGACCTGCAGAGTTATTTATTTTCAATACATTGTAGGTCAGGTTATTTATTTTGAAACTACCACAGAACAAACCATTCATTTTTGTTATCAAGGCTGAGTTATTTATTTTCAAAATCCTCCTGCCCCCCCCCCCCCCCCCCCCCCCCCCCCACCCCCCCAGAATATCAAATGGTCGTTACCTAACTGCAGGGGTTTCAGCTAGGAGTTTTGAGGGGGTTTAGTAACTTTTACGCTAAATGAAAATCAACCTTATTTTGGGTAACAGTATTAAAGGGACCATGCAAGGACGTATATTACTAGCTCAGTCTTCCCTAGAACATTTTTGATGCATGGTAGGTCTAAGGTTAAGTTGCAATGCAGATCACAGCGGCATTTTGTAGAATTATTTTTATTTCATTAGTGAAATGAATTGTGCATGTCAGTTAAAATACTACACTAGATCTGCAATACAGTCAGGAACTGTTCCGAATTATACCTTACATTTTCTCCAGGGGCCAACAAGGCCCTACCAGGGTATTTTTACTACAGGTACATACTTATTAATAGTCTTGAATGTTCTTATAAAGGCAATAATATATGTTTGAAATGCCTAATACATGTAGCCCAGTGTTTCTGATTATGATAGAAATAATAAATAAATTATAATAAACCACATTGAGTTTTTCAGAATTAAAATCCATTTAACCATGTCTTTTCAGACTGTTAAACTTATATTTGTAATATTATATATAAAAAATCCCCCCTTTTCCATTTTACACACCCCTAGATGTAGAGTATTAAAGTATTATCAGTTTCACCACTAGAAAGTATTCATTTTTAATGAAATAATCTTAGCAGTTAATCAAAATGAAAATCTTACTGTCTATAAATAACAATGAAATGTAACTGTTTCTTGTTAAAGGGGTTATCCGAATTTTCCCGCCAAAAAAGCACATGGCTTTTAACAAATGTAAACAAAGCAGTCAATTTGTGATCATGGATTACAGCTTTAATTAATTCAATTTGGATATAGATATTCAATGAAAGGTACAGTCAAGCATTGTTTTTACTTTCTTCTGGATTAAAACTAGTTTAAAAGATCAATTTAAAAAAAAATCTTTGACATATAAAACAACAGACGATCTACCGATACATCAAACGCAAATTGTCATCTTTTGAGAAATATTGAAATTGAAATGCTGACTGACCGAATTTAATGAGAAAAATTATTACAAATGGTCAATTATGAAGTTTAATTAACGGATTAATGACCCATCTGATGTCGATAAGCGGATTATCTGTAATCACAACTTATTACACCTGAGCTGTAAATGTTAATTAGCTGAGGGTCATAAACTTGTCATAAATATGAAGACAGGTAGAACAATTGTATTTTCATCAAAATATTACGGCAACAAAGGCATGGACTTGCGAAAAAGGGCAGGGCGTCTTAAAAAGGACACAGGGTATCAGAAAAAGGGCACAGGGCGGCACTCGGGAATTACAGTACCCCAATGATGATTGTGGACAAGTTTGGTTAAATTTTGCCCTGCAGTTTCACAGAAGAAGATTTATTAGTAAAAGTCGAGGGATGACGAAGGCTGATAAAGATAGATGCCAAGTGATGAGAATAGCTCAAAAACGACAATTATTGCTGTTGATTTTAAATTTATTAACCTTTGGGTAAATTTCCACAGTACAATTAATGAATTCTTGATTATTTAAAGCAAAAACATCATCAAGGAAAAGGTAAGCGTTATTAAATTTATCAATTAAAAGGAATTTAGACAGATCTATACATAGTTTGGCCAAAAACAGTGATTCATAACAAGTTGCTGAGTACAATTTGTGTTGGACATTTAAAAAAAAACCCAAACAAATGTCAATAAACAGTGTATTAAAATTCTAAACTTCATTCACTAATCTAAACTTTCCATGTAAAGGAATAGGATAAACATGGAAAAATTTTCTCTTGATTTCCGTTCCTTGAGAAACAGGTGCATAAAGTGGACTGTCTTGATAGGGATTGAGTGTCTCTGTAGTTATCATCACTGTTCCATCACACATTGCTACTAGTCTGTTGGTTCTCTCAATCTCAACCTGACAATTAAAATAAACCTAAACAGAATAAACAAATTCATCAATAGTAAACTTTGCTTGAAGTATTTTTTAACATCTCTGACATGTACAGTATCAAAGCACTGACTTACTGAATTTCTGTGTCATTTGGTCTCTTGTGAAGAGTACTAGTTGTCTCATTGGCAATCATACCACATCTTCTATTTTATATTTACTGAGCTGATAAAAAATAAAATGCTCCGCAGGGCGCAGCTTGATACGACCGCAGAGGTCGAACCCTGAACAGTTGGGGCAAGTATGGACACAACATTCAAGCTTGATACAGCTCTGAATTTGGATTGTGATTAAATATTTGACACAGCATAGGTTTCTGACACAGAATGAATGTGGTCTAAGAACTTAAAAATTTTCAATTGGACATTCACCTATTATGGTCCAATATCCAAAATCTAAATACATGGTTAGATTCAGCATATCAAAGAACCCCAAGAAATCAATTTTTGATGAAATCAAACAAAGTTTAATTTTGGACCCTTTTGACCTCAATGTGGACAAAGTTGATAACGGGGCCCAAAAATCTAAATACATGGTTAGATTCAGCATATCAAAGAACCCTCATATATTCAATTTTTGTTGAAATCAAACAAAGTTTAATTTTGGACCCTGATTTGGACCAACTTGAAAACTGGGCCCATAATCAAAAATCTAAATACATGTTTAGATTCAGCATATCAAAGAACACTAAAAATTCAATTTTTGTTAAAATCAAACTAAGTTTAATTTTGGACCCTTTGGACCTTAATGTAGACCAATTTGAAAACGGAACCAAAAATTAAGAATCTAAATACACGGTTAGATTCGGCATATCAAAGAACCCCAATAATTCAATTTTTGATGAAATCAAACAAAGTTAAATTTTGGACCCTTTTGACCTCAATGTGGACAAAGTTGATAACGGGGTCCAAAAATCTAAATACATGGTTAGATTCAGCATATCAAAGAACCCCATATATTCAATTTTTGTTGAAATCAAACAAAGTTTAATTTTGGACCCCGATTTGGACCAACTTGAAAACTGGGCCCATAATCAAAAATCTAAATACATGTTTAGATTCAGCATATCAAAGAACACTAAAAATTCAATTTTTGTTAATATCAAACTAAGTTTAATTTTGGACCCGTTGGACCTTAATGGAGACCAATTTGAAAACGGAACCAAAAATTAAGAATCTAAATACACGGTTAGATTCGGCATATCAAAGAACCCCAATAATTCAATTTTTGATGAAATCAAACAAAGTTAAATTTTGGACCCTTTGGACCTCAATGTGGACCAATTTAAAAATGGGGCCCAAAATCCAAAAACTTAATACACGGTTATATTCAGCATATTAAAGAACCCCAAGAATTCAAGAATAAAACCCCATTGAAATTGATCAAGAAATAAGCAATTTATAAGAAGTATCTTCTTTAGCACAATACTGTGCAATTGAATATTTCTTGCTATTGCGCAATACTGTACAATTGACAATTTCTTGCTATTGCGCAATATTGTGCTATTGGATATTTCTTGCTATTGCGCAATACTGTGCAATTGAAGATTTCTTGCTATTGCGCAATACTGTGCAATTGAAGATTTCTTGCTATTGTGCAATACTGCATGTGCAATTGAAAATTTCTTGCTATTGCACAATACTTATTATATAAAAATTTACACATCCTGTTTGGTGTGTATCTCCTACCATATCATTATTATTTGTTTTTAAATATAAATCAGAAATAACCAACTTAAAATGGAAAATTTTAAAAGAAAAAAAAAAGGAAAAAAAGAAAAAAAAAGAAAAAAAAAAATCCCCCCCCCCCCCCAAATTTTTTGAACCCCCTTATGATTCATCAACCCCAAACTCAATCCCAGCCTTCCCTTTGTGGTATGGTACCTTGCAGTACAATTTCAGAGAGATCCATACACTTGAACACAAGTTATTGTCTTGAAACTAGAAAAATGCTTATTTTTGGCCCCTTTTTGGCCCCCAATTCCTAAACGTTTCAGGCAATTACCCCCGAACTCAATTCCAGCTTTCCCTTTGTGATATGAAACCTTGTAGTACAATTTCAGAAATATCCAAACACTTACACACAAGCTATTGTCATGAAACTAGAAAAATGCTTGTTTTTTGCCCCTTTTTTGGCCCCTAATTCCTAAAATTTTGAGGCAATTACCCCCAAAATCAATGACAGCCTTCCCTTTGTGATATGGAACCTTGTGGTACAATGCCAGAGAGATCCATACACTTACACACAAGTTATTGTCTGAAAGTTACAAAAATGCTTATGTTTGGCCCCTTTTTGGCCCCTAATTCCTTAACTGTTGGTACCATAACCCCTAAAATCAATCCCAACCTTCCTTTCGTGGTATTGAACCTTATGGTAAAATTTCATGGAGATCCATTCACTTAAACTAAAGTTAGAGTGCAAAAACCAATGTGTCTTCGGACGACGCCGGACGACGCCAGACGACGACGACGCCAACGTCATACCAATATACGACCAAAAAATTTTTAATTTTTGCGGTCGTATAAAAAGTACTGATCATTTTTAAAATACTTGTTGAAAGTGTCTGGTAGAGCTTGATTTAACATAATATAGACACTTGGCAATTGTCTTTTCTTTTAAGTGTTGTTGGATTGGTATCTCAATGATGCACCTTAATTTTTATTCATTCATAAAATATATACATCGTACCCTCTTACATGATCTTAATTTGAAAATATTCCAAGGAATATTTGTTTCCATGATGTTGGAACAAGAGATATGTTGTACAGGCATTAAATGACCTGGTCATATTTGATTTATATAGTGTATACACTGAGGTACCAAAATTAAACACCAAAAACAAAATACACTAAATAAAGATATAGAACAGTTGTAAAGCACAGCAAATCCCTTGTCCTATATTTTGTTTATCAAAATTATTAATGAAGGTTGTGGTCGTCATTTGAATGTAGATTTCATCAATAAATATGATGCATCAACTGACAAATGATCATTCTTTTACAATTTGTAGTTGCTTAGATCTGAACCTAAACACAAAACTAAAACAAAGCTATTAACATCTTAAAATGAAGGTCAAGGTCACCTAATTGTAGCATTTACATTCAAAAGTAAACATGATTAGAAAAGAAAATCCCTTTATAATTTGTAGTTGCTTAGATCTGAACCTTAATGCAAAACTTGATAAAGCCATTTATGCGTAAAATTTAGGTCATGGTCACCTTCAATATCATTTTAGTGTGAACATTTGCTACTACAGATGATGCATCAACTGACAAAAGATCTTTCATGTGTGATTTATAGATCTGGAACTAAACATAATAAACTGTTGACACAGAGATATGTCTCGCCCGTTGGCATAAAATTCAGAAAACGACAATCTGATGGGCAGCAACATTGCTAAAAATTTAAAGTCGCTAGACCATGAACTAGTGGGCAGGGTCTCGAAATGGTCAACAAACTGAGACGTACAGTACCGTAATGTGACTTTATAGAAAATATCATTGTCTATTGTAAGTAGTTTCTATCAAACTAACTTAAGCAGAAAACTTAACATTGAAAATTGCTAATCAATTCAAATTTACAGGACCATGACCTAGAGGACAGGGCCTCAAAATAGTAGTCAAACTGATATGAACTGATAGTAATGCAACTTTATAGAAAATATCATTGATCTATCACATGTAGTTCTTATCAAACTAACTTAAGCAGAAAACTTAATATTGAAAATTGCTAATTAATTCAGTCACTGTGCAATACCTAGGGGGCAAGACCTCAAAATAGTCATCAAACTGACATGTACTGATAGTAATGCAACTTTATATTAAATGTCAATGATCTCTAACAAGTAGTTCCTATCAAACTAACTTAAGCAGAAAACTCAACATTGAAAATTGCTAATTAATTCAAAGTCGCTGGATTATGACCTTGGAGTTACATGTAGGGCTTTGAAATAGTCATCAAACTGATATGTACTGATAGTAATGCAACTTTATATCAAATATCAATGATCTCTCACAAGTAGTTCCTATCAAACTAACTTGAGCAGAAAACTTAACAATTGTTGATGCCAATGACATTGTTGTCACCGGAAAAGCAATCCCTATATCTCGCTTTCTGCAACTTTTGATCATGACTGACAAATGAACAGTTGAAATGTTATATCCTCTCCCAAACTTCTTTCAGCAAGGAGATAGAAAGGCAAATGTAAAAATATTGTAATTCATCAAAATGTTAACCTCCATTAATTCTTTTTTGAGAAAATGCAAGCATGCTCATAAAATGTCAGCAAAATGCAAATTATGTATATGTAGTTTTGACACAAAAAGCTAAATTTTAACACCTAAATTCAACCACTGCTCCAAGGTAAAAACACCAAAATACCTTCATTTACTCTATGATGAATCTTATATTCAACATGAAAGGTTTATATTAGCCACAGACAGTTCTGAGGCATCAAGATGAAAAATTTATTCCACCTGGTTGTCTGTCAGAGCACTGCTTTAAATTCTTATTCATTTATTAGTATTGACACTTTAAACATTGAAGAACGGTAAAAACTTTGGGTTGGGAAATTGGATTTTAAGGAAATCATAAATAAGAATCTGTAAGAAAACTAATACTTAATACCAAGGTTAATTATAATGTTTCTACCTACATTTTCACCAGGATAGTAATTTAATCCATTTTGTGTAACTAACACATCTCCTCTATGTACAAACTGCCCATCTAATCTTTTCACCTTTCTACCATGAGCAGGTCTTATAAAATCTGGTTTATTTACTACTGGTCCCTTTCCTGGTCTCTTTATACCACTGGCTCTAACCACTGTACATGCAGGTATATACTGTGGTGAACTGAAATTCTTCAGCAAATGTCCTGAAAATACAAAGAAATATTTCAGTACATATCTAGAATGGTACACAAGAGTTGACAAACTAAAATGTCTTGCCTGTTGCAAAACATGAATTTGATTTATTTCAAAGGACATAGAACTCGAAATCTCAGGCTGCCGCAAAGGTCAAATGAAACATTGTCAGATGCACATAAAATGAATTCACATTAACACATACCTAATTCATAAATGTAATCCTACTCGTAGAGCATAAAGTGATCGAAATCGTTGGTGGCAAGATTGGTCAAGTAGTTGAATAATTTAAAATTATATTTAGATACGGTGTGAAAAAAACCCTTGACATAGAGCTATTGCAGACAATTGCATTTATTGCTGTTCATTAGAAAGATCAGATTTTTTTCAGAGAGTAAAATGAGCTAAATGTGAGTTGACAATAACGGGTCCTTTAATTTGCATAAAAACTTTGTTTAAATAATTTAATTGCAATTTCATATATAATCAAATAATGTTCCTGTTTCCTGTTTTATGTTTTCATCTTTAGAAACAGAAGAAATTACCAAATAAAAATTTTTCTAATGAAGATTATCAATTATCCTTGTAAGGATATGGGACCAATAAATAAAGGTTTGGAACTAAGATCTATGTCTCCAAAAATTAACCAGAAAAGGTTGTTTTTGCAGCATTTTGTTAGAACTTTGAAATATAAATAAGAAGATGTGGTATGAGTGCCAATGAGACGACTCTCCATCCAAGTCACAATGTGTAAAAAGTAAACAATTATAGGTAAAGTACTTTCAACACGGAGCCTTGGCCAACACTGAACAGCAAGCTATAAAGGGCCCCAAAATGACTAGAGTGAAACAATTCAAACAGGAAAACCAACGGTCTAATCTATAAAAAAAACGAGAATTGAGAAACACTTATGAACCACATCAACAAACAATAACCACTGAACAACAGGCTCCTGACTTTGGAGAGGTGCATACAAATGCAGCGCGTTTAAACATTTTAACAGGCGCCAACCTTCACCCTAACCTGAAACAGTAGTATAACATTACAACATAAAAAGACACACTATAAAATATCAATTGAAATGGCTTAACTCGATCAAAAATACATACAAACAAAAACAAGTAAACATAAACTGAACGAATAAATTTGATCTATGACACAATATAAATACAATATTAATAAAAAAGATGTAAATCAATTTCAAAAAGACAACTCTAATCTAGGACAAAATGGCGTTAAATAAAATAACGTACACAGGTATATTTAAATAAAATAATTTTGTTGTTACAATGTAGGAGTACGGAAATATTTTTTACAAAGTAAATAAATTTGTTGTTCACAGTACGAGTACAGAAGTGAAAATTTATCGTCATACTTAATACTTATCAAAGGTGGTACATATTAAAAATAGTGAGACGAGATATAACACAAAATAAGTAAACATTGAATAACAAAAATGCATTACAAACATATATGTGTTCTTCTCATAAATTTTTCTCCTCTATAAAGGATTGCTTACTGATTTTGAAAACAATCATATGACACCGAAGTCAAGATTAATAGTTGTAGGATGACATACAGGAATTTTCATTTCCATAACTTACTACATCTATAAAGTTATTATTCTTTGTCATAAGATGGCAGTTTAGGACAAATAGCTTTCGGTTTAGGTCATGACTGGCAATTATGACAGTTTCCGTACCCTTGCATATAACAAATATGATCCTTTACAACATACAATATTTTAACATGACATTCATATAATAAACCTTTTAATGAATGTAATCTATGTATTACTGGTAAATTATTAAGTCAGGGATTTCATTACCACAAATTACTTAAAACCTTGGCATTGCACAAAGTCATGTTTTTCTCTGATTGTTTATGACGTCTTTACACTAAATCCATTGGATGTGTACTGATTGATAATTTAGTCTTAGGATACATGATTTTTTTTATTAGTTTTTATTGGCTTTGAACTAGCTGTCAGTAACTGCAAGTACTCTCAGATCTGTGCTAAGTGTCTTTTTGTTGTTGGGATGTACAAGGACCCGTCCATGTCCACTTTGTGTTTTTGTTGGATGTATTTCTATTTGTATCCATCTGATGACTTAAGCCTTTTTCAACTGATTTTTATTGTTTGTTCTTATGTTGTACCGTTACACCACCATGACCACTGTCCCAGGTTAGGGGGAGGGTTGGCGCCTTCAAACAAGTTTAACACCACCACATTCTGTATATGCCTGTCCCAAGTCAGGAACCTGTAATTCAGTGGTTGTCGTTTGTTGCTGTGTTTCATATTTGTTTTTTCGTTCATTATTTTGTACATAAATTAGGCCGTTGGTTTTCTCGTTTGAATTGTTTTACATTTGTCATTTCGGGGCCTTTTATAGCTGACTATGCGGTATGGGCTTTGCTCATTGCTGAAGGCCGTACAGTGATCTATAGTTAATTTCTGTGTCATTTGGTCTATTGTGGAGAGTTGTCTCATTGGCAATCATACCACATCTTCTTTTTTAGCTCACCTGGCCAGAAGGGCCAAGTGAGCTTTTCTCATCACTTGGCGTCTGTCGTCCGGCGTCGTTGTTAACTTTTCACATTTTGAACTTCTTCTAGAGAACCACTGAATGGAATGAAACCAAACATGGCATGAATGTTCCTTATGAGGTGCTGACCAAGTGTTGTTACTTTGTAGCGGATCCATAATCCAAGATGGCCGCCAGCGGGGGCTTAGTTTAACATAGGACCCTATGGGAAATACATACAAATGTCTTCTTTTAGAGAACCATTGAATGGAATGAAACCAAACATGGCATGAATGTTCCTTATGAGGTGCTGACCAAGTGTTGTTACTTTGAAGCTGATCCATTATCCAAGATGGCTGCCAGCGGGGGACTTAGTTTAACATAGGACCCTATGGGAAATACATACAAATGTCTTCTTTTAGAGAACCACTGAATGGAATGAAACCAAACATGACATGAATGTTTCTTATGAGCTGCTGACCGAGTGTTGTTACTTTGAAGCCGATCCATAATCCAAGATGGCCGCCAGCAGGGGACTTAGTTTAACATGGGACCCTATGGGAAATACATACAAATGTCTTCTTTTAGAGAACCACTGAATGGAATGAAACCAAACATGGCATGAATGTTCCTTATGAGGTGCTGACCAAGTGTTGTTACTATGAAGCCGATCCATAATCCAAGATGGCCGCCAGCAGGGGACTTAGTTTAACATTATTATTAAGGACCCTATGGGAAATACATACAAATGTCTTCTTTTAGAGAACCACTGAATGGAATGAAACCAAACATGACATGAATGTTTCTTATGAGGTGCTGACCAAGTGTTGTTACTTTGAAGCTGATCCATCATCCAAGATGGCCACCAGGGGGGGACTTAGTTTAACATAGGACCCTATTGGAAATACATACAAATGTCTTCTTTTAGAGAACCACTGAATGCAATGAAACCAAACATGGCATGAATGTTCCTTATGAGGTGCTGACCAAGTGTTGTTACTTTGAAGCTGATCCATTATTCAAGATGGCCGCCAGCGGGGGACTTAGTTTAACATAGGACCCTATGGGAAATACATACAAATGTCTTCTTTTAGAGAACCACTGAATGGAATGAAATCAAACATGGCATGAATGTTCCTTATGAGGAGCTGACCGAGTGTTGTTACTTTGAAGCCGATCCATAATCCAAGATGGCCGCCAGCAGGGGACTTAGTTTAACATGGGACCCTATGGGAAATACATACAAATGTCTTCTTTTAGAGAACCACTGAATGGAATGAAACCAAACATGGCATGAATGTTCCTTATGAGGTGCTGACCAAGTGTTGTTACTATGAAGCCGATCCATAATCCAAGATGGCCGACAGCAGGGGACTTAGTTTAACATAGGACCCTATGGGAAATACATACAAATGTCTTCTTTTAGAGAACCACTGAATGGAATGAAACCAAACATGACATGAATGTTTCTTATGAGGTGCTGACCGAGTGTTGTTACTTTGAAGCTGATCCATAATCCAAGATGGCCGCCAGCAGGGGACTTAATTTAACATGGGACCCTATGGGAAATACATACAAATGTCTTCTTTTAGAGAACCACTGAATGGAATGGAACCAAACATGGCATGAATGTTCCTTATGAGGTGCTGACCAAGTGTTGTTACTATGAAGCCGATCCATAATCCAAGATGGCCGCCAGCAGGGGACTTAGTTTAACATTATTATTAAGGACCCTATGGGAAATACATACAAATGTCTTCTTTTAGAGAACCACATACTGAATGGAATGAAACCAAACATGACATGAATGTTTCTTATGAGGTGCTGACCAAGTGTTGTTACTTTGAAGCTGATCCATCATCCAAGATGGCCACCAGGGGGGGACTTAGTTTAACATAGGACCCTATTGGAAATACATACAAATGTCTTCTTTTAGAGAACCACTGAATGCAATGAAACCAAACATGGCATGAATGTTCCTTATGAGGTGCTGACCAAGTGTTGTTACTTTGAAGCTGATCCATTATCCAAGATGGCCGCCAGCGGGGGACTTAGTTTAACATAGGACCCTATGGGAAATACATACAAATGTCTTCTTTTAGAGAACCACTGAATGGAATGAAATCAAACATGGCATGAATGTTCCTTATGAGGTGCTGACCGAGTGTTGTTACTTTAAAGCTGATCCATAATCCAAGATGGCCGCCAGCAGGGGACTTAATTTAACATAGGACCCTATGAGAAATACATACAAATGTTTTCTTTTAGAGAACCATTGAATGGAATGAAACCAAACATGGCATGCATGTTCCTTTTGAGGTGCTGACCAAGTGTTGTTACTTTGAAGCTGATCCTTCATCCACGATGGCCGCCAGATGGGGACACTGTTTAACAAAGGACCCTATGGACAATACATACAAATGTCTTCTTTTAGAGAACCACATACTGAATGGATTGAAACCAAACATGGCATGAATGTTCCTTAT